CCTCAGCCGGGTGTTTCTCATTCCAGCCTGGCCACCCCCACACTCTTGTCCCCGCCACCCTGGAGCCTCTGGCCCCTAAAGATGGAGATGCCGGCTGGGCTCCAGCCCTTGTGTGGCCTCCCTGACATCCGCCCCCGGTGATCTCATCTGTTTCATGACAAGTCCACGCCTGTTCCTCCAGCCCTCCCTCCCTCCCTCCCTCCACCGTGTCCACATCCTGGTTCCCACTTCACGCCTCAACCTCAATCTAGAGGCCCAATAGTGATGTCCAGTTCAGCATGGCCAAAGCCCAATGAGGGATGTACTCCCCCCCCCACCCCATACTCAGCTCAGCCAGCCACTGCTTCCCCCAGATCTGCAGCCCCAACCTGGGCCCGTCCCTGGTTCTCCCTGTCTCAGACCCATGGCAGCAAATCCAGTCCAAACTTGGGGGCCCTTTCCCCTTAGGACAGCTGGTATCCATTGAGCCTCATGAGACACTCTGTGGGTGGGTCAGTGGGACCTGGCTCACTTGGAGCCCACAGAATGTGGCGAGGGGACGGCTTGTCACTCTGTGACTGGCGTGGGGACGAAGCTTGGGCTTTCTCTCTCCAGCCCCCTCCCTCCTGGTGGCTTGGAACAGCCACTGAAAAGCCCAGTTGGCTTAGAGCTGCAGTGGCTGCTGGCCTGAGGGTGGCCTCCTGCTCACCCCCAGTGAGAAGCAGGGGGCCTCGGTGGTCCTATGGCCGTAGGTGAGGGGTCCTCTGGGAGCATCAAGCCAGTTGTGACAGCAGCAATTACTCCTGCCTCTGGGCCCACGAGCCATGTAGGAGCTGGGTGGGCTGAAAGGTCTGTGGCCCAGGGTTAGGCAGGGAAGGCCTGCCTGCCCCCATCGGATCGGCTTGAGTAAGTGAAACCAGCAGCTCAGGAGGCAGCCCTCTCTAGAGCTGCCATCTTGCTCATGGCCTCTCCAGTGCAAACCGGGGAAGCGCTTGGCTGTGGCCAGCAGTGCAGGTTGTAGCTCCTTTGGGTTGGGGGGGGGAGGAGGGGAAGTTTTAGATCAGAGATCTACTTTGAAGCAAGCTGCTGCCGGAAGCCCACGAGCACAGTTCCGGGAGGGTGAGTCCACAGTGTGTGTTTTTCCAGTGGAAGGACATCTCCCTAGGCTTGCAGCCCCCAGGCTAGGAGCGTTAGGGAGGGTCTGGCGCGGATTGACACAGGGGCTGCAGCAGCAGGCTCAAGTCTGGGGACCACTGTGGAGCTGGCGCTGGACGGGATTGAGTTTTGTTCTGTTGTTCTGTTGTGTGTGGATGGGCTTGCTGTGGGTCGAAACCAACTCCACGGCACCGAGCAAGGAAGGCAGGCGTGAAGAGGCAGCTCGGGGGACAAGACTCAAGGCTAGCACGGAGGTGGGGTGGGGGTGGGGTGGGGGGCTCAGTCCCAGACACCACACCTCGCCCGTGTGTTGATGCCGACTGCGGCAGCTCGCAGGCAAAACACAGAGGCAAATCAGCAACCATGAGCCAGCCGCGGTAACCGAGCCTGGGGACATTTGCATGCACGCTGGACTGGCCAGGCTGGTGCCCAGCCGGCGTTCTGCTCCGAGGGCTCCAGGGCGGCCGCGGGATGCAGCCGGCGCTCTTGGCCTTCTTCAAGCTGCTCTTCGCGCTGCTGTGTCTGCTGGGCACCGCGGCCAACGGCTTCATCGTGCTGGTGCTGGGGGCCGAGTGGTGGCGGCGGGGCCGGCTGGCGCCCCCCGACCTCGTGCTGTTCAGCCTGGGCGCGGCGCGCTTCTGCCTGCAGTGGCTGGGCCTGGCCAACAACTTCTACGCGGTGCTGTGCCGGGCTCAGTACTTCACCGGCCCGGCGCGCCAGCTCTTTGGCCTGCACTGGGACTTCCTCAACACGGCCACCTTCTGGCTGGGCACCTGGCTCAGCGTGCTCTTCTGCGCCAAGGTCGCCAGCTTCAGCCACCCCGCCTTCCTGTGGCTCAAGTGGCGGCTGCCGGCCTGGGTGCACCGGCTGCTGCTCGGCTCCCTGGCCGTGTCCACCGTGGTCACCCTGCTCTTCTTCTGGGGGAACCGCCTCATGTACCAGGGGTACCTGATGGGGGACGTCGTGGGGAATCGGACCTACCGGGAGTGGACGCATTGGCTGGAGATCCACTATTTCCTGCCCTTGAAGCTGGCCGCGCTCTCGGTGCCCTGCTCGCTGTTCCTGGCCGCCATGGCGCTGCTCCTCACCTCCCTGCGCAGACACGGCCACCGCATGCGGCTGCACAGGTCCGCCCTGCAGGACCCGCGCGCCCGGGCACAGGCGCGCGCGCTCTCTGCCCTCGTCTCCTTCCTCGGCCTCTACGCGCTGTCCTTCTTCTCCCTCGTTATCGATGCTGCCGGCTTTTTCTCGGTCGAGAGCGACGGGTACTGGCCGTGGCAGATAGTCATCTACCTGTGCACCTCGCTGCACCCCTTCGTCCTCATTCTGGGCAGCCCCAAGCTCCGCGCGGCCTGCAGGCAGCCGCTGCTGCGGCCCAGGGGCCTCCGGGGCACCTAGGACAGAGCTGTTCACCCAGACCCCCTCAAGCAGCTTTCGAGGGCGCTGGACCATGGCCGCATGGAGATGGGTGGATTTCTTTTCAGCCAGCAAAGCCCAGAAGAAAGGAGGGAAGCTGATGCGTGACTTGACCCCCTGTCCTGCTACTGAAGTTATTCAAAACGTCAAGAAGACCTCGCAGATTCCTGAGAATGGCGATCGATCGCTGACTGCTGAGATATTCCTTCCATTGCTGATGTTGTCTAATGGACACTCTGGGACTCTATCATAACTGAACATTCTAGCCAATAGTGACTGGACTATTATTACCCACTGTTCTTTTGCTGAAAGATCAAGATTTTGGACTTGTCAATTAATGTTAAAATGTGATTGGAATGTAACTGATTTTTGTATAGCCCCTTAGCCATATAATAAGACATTGCATGATTAGGATTTGATTAAGAAACATTTGCAAGTGTTTAAGGGAAACATTTCATTAGATGTTGATCAGCTTAAGAAGGATATTTTCTATACATTCAAAGACATGCTCGAGGCGTCTCCTGGCTCTCATGTGATTAAGCAGTTGGTGAATGGCGTGGAAGGGTTGGATCCTCGAGCCTGGGCTCAAAGTATTTCATACAGCTTAAGTCCCTGTCAGACTGTGTTACCTTTCATCATAATTTTGATGCTCGCAGTCTCATGTCGCTTCTATAGGAAGCCAAGAGAAATGAAGAGAGACCATGTTGCCTCTGTGACACTATTAAATCTTAAACGCAATGCAGAAAGGGGAAATGTGGGATACTAGCACTGAGGGAAATAAAACTGGGGCTTATTCCCTGACTGGTAGGGAGGGAATCTGGAAGACCAGTATTCTATGGCAGAAGACCACCACTCTTGTAGTTGGAGATATAATCAGAGTATATTTTCCTGCGGTAATCTATCATTTCCACAGCTTCTGCCTCTAAAGTTGTGCTGCCTTAAAGTGAGCACATGGTTGATTCAATCTCCCTATAGAAGCAGACTCGATTGGCTCCATTTCCTCCTGCCATGGCATCCAATCCCTGTTGTACCTTCCTCCAATAGCAGATAGGCTTAGGGGGACTTTATCCCCAGCGCCTAGATTCAAGATGTTTGCTATAAGCCTGAATTTTTTTGGCTTTATTAATTGGATCACTAAGTTTTGCCTTGACAGCTTTCAATGTATAGAAAATAACCATGTCACCCTTTTGAATTTTATATATAAAACAAAAGGAGGAATTGTGGGAAACAGAAAGATTTCTCCCAAGTCGTCTCCCCCAAATACGTTAGACTTAGGACACTGCTTGCAGCTAATGGTAAATGATGGTCAAGTTACGTCCCTGAAGACAGTCAGTTGCCAAATAACTGTGTGGACTGGTAGGGCCCGGTTCCCTGCTGTTAAAGGCAATGGGCTACTTCTCCCCAAAGGCTTACTTACAGTCATCGATTTAGTGACTGTAGGCAGAGTTTTTTTTTTCTTTCTTTTAAAAATAATTTTATTGGGGGATTCTTACAACTCTTATAATAATCCATACATCCATTGTATCAAGCACATTTGTACATATGTTGCCATCATCAGTTTCAAAACTTTTCTTTCTGTTTGAGCCTGTGGTATCAGCTC